CTGCTCCTGTCACCTCCTCCAGAGTTTATATTGGGTAAAACTTTGATATCATCTAGCTTCTTCTGATTCTTTGGAGACTTTTTAAAAATTGCAATTGATTTCTTATAACTAATAAAGTAGGCATCTAGCAATTGTAACAAAAGTGGATGCAGAACTCTCGTGTAACGAGCAGGGTTCTCTTCTCCAGGGAGGGCAGTTCCTGAATTCCTCTGGTCTTTCCAGACATGGGTGAGCATACTGTCAGGGAGCCTACGGGGTTTACCTAGCAAAATGGGAAAGCACAGGTGCCCAGATTTCCTTCTGTCCTGGGGGGAATTAAAATCTATTTTTAATCAGTGCTGCAGCCTAGGAGAAGTTTGGTGTGTGAGGCTGGCAGCTTGTCCTCTCAGGATGGGCTATAAAGAAAAAGTCAAATGTGCTAAAAAAGCCTAGATCAAATAAAAGTGGCTAGCGTTTTTGAGTGCTTCCATGTGGGGTGCAGCGAGTCTCTCTTGTCTTATTTGCTTTCTGCTCACGGCAACCCCCGCAGGGTCTCCTGTCACCCAGGGTGTGACTGGGGATCCTCTGTGGTCTGGATCTGCAGTCTCCCCTAAAGGCCCATGTATTAAGGGTCTGGTCCCCAGCTTGGCTCCGCTGGCAGGTGGTGGACCCTTTGAGAGGTGGGAGGACTGGAGATGTGTCCTTGAAGGGGTCAGTGAGGCCAGTCTCTTCTTCCTGCTCTGACCCTGAGGACAGTCATTTGCTCCACCAGACGTGGAGCTCCTGCCAAGGTGCTCTCCTTGCCACAGGCCTAAAAAGTGTCAGTGCCAGCAGAATGTGGCCTGAAACCCGAACTGTGAGCCAAAGTCACCCCATTCTCTTTACAAGTTGATTATCTCAGGTTTAGTCATTGTGACAGAAAGCGGATTGACAGGGACCCTGGAAAACCTTCCTTGGTCAAATAGCTACTGCTATTTAAACATGTAGCTGGACCGTCCCTGGACAATCTCACAGCTCCACTCTGGGGACTCCCTGTCAGGCCGCCAGTTCCCATGGCACCCCACAAAATCTCCCTGCTCATAAAATGGACCAAGAAGCCCTGGCTCCCATCTACACGGGGTCAGACCCTATTTTGATCACTGTCCTGGACCCCAGGCTGTAGCTGCAGGCTTGCCCTGAAACAGGGCCTCTGTCAACCATGCATGGATGAGGGCTTTGATGAGAGGAGGAGTCTGATGGAATCTTCCACAGGTCAGCTGCAAGAAAAACTGGGCCGGAAAAATAGGCAGGGATTTGGGAAGAACCTCTGTTTGGAGCAGGTGCTACCTTTTAGTAAAGCATGTGTGGCCTGCACGTTTGAAGAAGCAAATGTCTGTGGGGAAACATTAAAAGCATAGCAACCTTTTAATTGGAAGTGCATAAAAGACAAATTAATTAGAGTTCAGCAGCATAAGCACCTAAATCATAAGGCAAAAAAGTATCGAATCCCAGAATGTGTTCGTAAAATCATTGAATAGAAGCGTGATTGTTGCTCAGTAATGTTTATTTAGCAGATCTTATTTAATTGCATGGAATATCCCTTAAATGACATAAGCTTGCTACTTAGTTTCAGCTCCATGTTCTGGAGTTTTCTTGTTTCATGGAAAACACTAGGTAGGGTATTTTTGAGTGTGGGAGAGCCCGGGGCAGAGAGGACTCACTTCATCACCTTGTCATTCCTGGCCATAAACTACCCTCTCCCCTCCTGAAGACCCTGCTCCTCTCGTTCCAGTTTCTAACTCATTACTCTGCTGGTAATGTGTTGTTTACTGAGGCGAGCAGCTCTCTGTCCTCAAGGCAGGACTCCCCTATTTTTGGAAAGGTCAAACATCTGTGCTCAAGAGCATGAACTTGGACAGCACATGTCTCATTAAAGTCCTGCACAGCTGCAAAGAAACCCTGGGCTCCATTCTGGGAGGGAGGGAATGGCAACCACATCTTCCACTGTTAGGCTTTTCACACGTGTGCAGAATGGAGACTCCTGCTTCTGGGGGTGACCTTGACTTAGGGGCTTCACCTGAATACCTCCCTGTCCTGCAAGTAATAAACAGAGGCCAGGTGTAGAGCTGTTGGGGAAACTGGGGGCTGACTACGGCTCAAGGAGGGAGTAAGAAATATGTGCCAGTTTTACTTTGAGATTGGAGTGGCCAGCGGTGTTGGTAGATAATTGAGGGAATGCACAGAGAGCCACAGCCCCCACTTACCCTTGTGCTTAATTTAGGAACCTTTCATTATAACTCCGTCAGGCAGGACCCTAAGGAAAATACACAGAAGAAGAGTGTGCCAACATAGGCAGAATTAACAGAAACCCCAAAATCAAAATGGTGCATGTGAAAAGCTGTCTATGAGCCAGCAGTTAACACCAGAAATGGGCACATGCCATGGAAGTGTCACAGGAGCTCAAACACTAAGCTTAAACACAAAGGTGTCCTTTTAGTTCAAGAGGAACACACATCAATTGTGCTTAAATCATGACAAATCTGCTTTGTTGAGCTCCTATGGGAACTACTGCAAGGCAGATTTATAAAATTGTAACTTGGATAATTTTCTTTTATCAGGGTAGTGTGAATACTAAAGAAAAAATTTGTGTCTTCAAGTATCATTATATTCTGCTGCTTTATGATATGTTAATATCAGACTGTAGGAATTTCCTGTACCAAATGCAAAGGGAACTCATATTTAGGTACTAAATGCACCAACATTTGTTTAATGTATGTATCAAGCATCATGCTAAGCATGCCACATAATTCATCTCATATAGTTCTCAGAGATCTCATAAATTAGATTTTTTTTTGCTTATTTTTGAGATCAGAGAAGAAGAGGTTGACTCTCCATGATCATATTTAGGAAATGAAATCTAAAACTCATGTCCATTTTACATACTTATTGTGAAATAAAAACAATAATAACTTCAGATTAGGGCAGAGTTTTGGGATGCAGGCAGCCAGTATGAATCTTTCATGGACCAAGTTTTTAACCCCTTTTCCCGTCTCCTCTTAAACCATCGGTGATATGCCCAACTCAAGAAAGAACATTTTGGGTATTTAGTTTTAGCATATAATTTCCTCCAACTTCTCCAGTATTTCATGTTATAGATTTTTTTCCTGATTTGCCTGCCAAATTTTGTCTATTTGAAACTGGATTTAAAATTTACCACTTTTATGCAACTTTCCTAGATCTATGAAATTTTTTTATGATAATAACTGTTTATGATCATTGGCTATTCTTTGTGTAGTGTTTAGTTGTTTGTTTCACAGTATTATGAGTTCTGTAAGAGGAAGAATATATATATATATATATATATATATATATATATATATATATATATATATATATGAATCAGTGTGGAAATTGGGACTGGGCTCAGGTTATCATCTTTTGTAAATGTTAGTAGCATCTTTTGTATGGAGTTCAAAAGTATTTTCCCCAGATGATGTTCTTTCCTAACTTTTCAGTCTGATTACTTTTGAGATTAATTATCTAGTCTCCACAGTAGCTCTTTGCTGAATATTTTACTGTCTGCACCATTGAGCTTCATACATCTAGGACTGTAATTATTGCTGGAGCAGGAAGGCAGAGGCTGGGAAGGTTTAGAATATTCTTACGAGGAAATATGAACACTTGTTAGGGATAGGAATATTTTCTGAAATAATCTAGTGTTTAACCGGAAGGAAACGTGTCTTGCAGGATTTCTGCTCTTGAGTTTAGGTGAGGCTGTTGTGTGTGCACGTGTCTCCATATGCATGCTCTTCTGTGCTGAACTTCTTTTGTCTCCTGAAGACATCCCCTTCTATATTAAAATTCTGCCACTGTTTTTCTTTCAATATTTTGTTTCTCTCAGTGCTCACTAGATAAAGCAAAATAGCAAATTATTTTAACAGTCTTATAGACGTTGTTATTTAGTATAGTGAATAACTGAATGAGGATAAATGCTTATATTCTTGAAATATATGAGACTGTATGAGAATAAATGCTTCTGTGGCACCAAAATAAAAGCATTACAAATCTCTCCCTTGTTTTACATGCATAATTGCTGGTTTCTTTTAATACACTGGTGATCATATTGTATTCTAAAGCCAAATAGGGATTTCTAAAAGATTTTCACACTCATTGGTTATTAATGTTTCCAAAGGTCTAAATATTAGAAATTTCCCGAGCCTGTGATTCTCATCAACAAGACTTTAAATTCTTCTGACATTTAATGGAATTTTCTGTGGTGTAAGAATCATGTTCTACACAAACTGCATTACAGAACATTTGATTTTTCTCTGGGGGAAAAAAGGTAGCGATAATGAAGTCTTGAGAAAGAAAATCCAGTTCAAGTGGATTTTAAATATATGTGTTAAAAATAGAGCGTGTGCCCATGAGATGCTGGGTGGTGCTTAATCAGCAGGGGCTGTGTTTCCAGCAAAGCCTGCCCTTCCTTGCATTGCTGGCATTCCCCTGCATCAGCCATAGGTGCCATGAGCAGGGACTGTGGCAGCCCCTGAATTGCTGCACTTGAACATCTTCTAAATCCTTCTGAGTTAAAGGTCATGCCAAGTGGCACTGAAAGATAATGTCCTACAGGTTGTCAATAAGCCCTGCAATATGATTTATTACTTGGAGTCAAGTGTTAATTGGATGGCAGCTGCCTTTGAATGGATAATCTTTCTCCTTTCTTAATGCTGACAGATAAAAATGGAGATATTAGTTGAAATGAAGGAAGCCTCTTAGTCTTCATTGGAAGTCTGAGGTTCACTAATTGTTCTACCCTCACTTATTTATGTATTTTTTTTCACTTAAGAAAGTCTAGCAGTCAAAAAGGGAGCAAGGGATTCCACCTGGAGCAGGGAGCCGTCAGCCGTGCTGTCAGTCAGGTTTGGTTTGGAGCCCAGGAGGGGAAGTTTGCTGTGCTTCTGTCCTGTCTAACCTCCAGGGCTGCAGTATTCTCCTATTTGCTTCTCATCTTACCCTTGCCCACTCTTTCCTTGTCCCCTTAGAAGAAGCCTCCTCTTAATTGATCGTATCAGTTATGGCGTGTGTATCACCTTCCTGCTTGTCAGAACTTCCGAGAACACCTGGGGCATATCACCTAGACTGCAGGTGAGTGTGCACCCAGGCTCCTTCACTCATGAACTGCGCTCACTCAGTGACATGGGATAGAAAATATGTTCTCACTGGGGTTTTATGGAGATTAAGTGGATTATAAATAATTTGAAAGTTGTAGATTGCAAAGTGCTAAAATAGGAATGGCTTTACTAAAGGTAAACAGAGCTGGGGGTGTTGATTCAGGCACCACAGATCAGCAAGGGGCATATTCCATTGAGCAGTGACCAATTTTTTCTCTTTTTTATAACCAGGATTTTAACTTCTAGCTGATAAAAATCTAAAAATTAAACATACAACAAATTCGTTCTTAGTGGTTTTAAAATAATACCTCATACAACATGGTTGCCAAAATGACTGGCTCTGAGCTCAGGACAGCTGGACTGTTTCCACACCTCACTGTGGGTGTCTAATGGCTGCTATGGTTGAACCTGTCCCGTGACATTCACGTTGAAAATCGTCCACATGATAATATTAAGAGGTGGGGGCATTTAGGAAGTGATCCAGGGAGCAGAGCCCACATCTAAAGTCTGCAGGGAAGAGACTTTTTCTCTTACACCTTCCTCTATATGAGGACTCAACAATAAGGTGCCATCTTGGAAGGAGAAAGTAGCCCTTGCCAGAGGCTGGATCTGCTGGCACCTTGATCTTCTGTTGTCCAGTCTCAAATATTTCATCACAGGAGCACAGATGGAACGATGGAGGGTCCAGCCTCAGCGACACGCAGAGCCGTGCTTCCTGGCACCCGTCTCTTATTGAAAAGTCTACTTTCTTCTTTCAAGAATCCTCTCCTCTCTGTCTTCCTGTCTCTGGGTAGGGTACCTGGTTAACCCCACAGAACTGAGTGTCTAGAGGCTCAGTGTCTAGAGTGAGAAAACCAGAAGGCTTCCGTAAGCCACCAACAAATTCAGTTGTTTTCAACGGGAATTTCTGCTCCTGTGGAAAAAAAGATGACCTCAACTGTACAGTTATTGCACTGTCCACTGTGGGAGACCTCCGGTGCCCAACCACAGAGTCCATCCTAGGCTAAGCAGTCGCTTCTCTGTGTTCAAGGTCAGTAAGAAGAAAGTTGTGTCCAGAGGCTTTTTCCATGCCTTCCTCTTGGCCTGGGCCTCTATGATCTCAGATCTTTTGTTTCCTAACCAAAAAGATCTAGTTATATAATTTTATTCCAGAAAAAAAGAATGTATTTCCATAGCTTTGCCAGTAGAATTAGAAGAAGCCAGCATATTTTCTTGCTAAATAATTTTTTAAATTCTAATTATCTAGATAATTCTATCTATCTATAAACAACAAATATATATACACACACACTCATATTTTATTAAAAATAAATGTGCTTTTCTGAATGTTTTCTAATAGGTAACTGCTTTATAGAAAATCCTTGGCCAGTATGTGATAATCTGAATGAATTTGCCACCTTTAGTTTTCAGTAGTTAACAAATAGCAAAAACATGAAAATTAAATGAAATATTAGAATTCTCAGATCTAATAACATGAAATGAGCACAAGTATTCAATGAAACCCGAGGAAGTTAGATGATCAAATATGAACTTGTCAACACATTTGTTTTCATTTTTCCTTGTACTAATAGTATTTTTAGTAAAGGACCATTGGCTGTCTCTGCTAGTCAGAGATGGGTTGCTCCTGAAGGCAGGCCATTGGGACGGCTTCCCAAGACTCATGTTCTTTTTTGTCCTCTAGTATTTTATTATTTTCATTTTCAGCTGATAGATGAAACATAAAACCATCCAGGTTAGCGGGTGGCCTGTGATGTTGTGATGAGCGTATGCATCATGTGATGTTTAAATCAGGTTGAGTGTATCTGTCTCCTTGACACCCACCGTTTCTTCATGGTGAAAATGTTCCAGACCCTGTTTCCTGCCTCTGGAGGTGAACAGCGAACATGGCTGTCTGCACCCACGCAGGTGCTTCTACCCCTCTCTGACGGCCCATTCCTCCCTCCCGTCGTCTCCCCAGCCTCAGGTCACCGCCAGTCCACTCAGTCTGTCCTTGTCCTTATTATCTTTATTATTTGGCAAGCACAACAGAAAGTCTGGCCCAGGACAGTGATTTTGGAGACATCTCTTCCATTTCTAAGATGATGGGAAAATTCCAGGCAAGATGAGATGCGCCTAAGAGGCTGAGTCTCACAGAGCTTCAGTCTTTCTGCCAGCCAATGGAACTATGGTCAGGATTGTTAAAATCTTTATATTTTAGCCTCACATTAACACAAATATAACCTTACATTACTTTTCATCTGAAATTGAAATATATTCAGATTATTTGCTATTTGACCCAAGAGGCCATTCCTGTGTTTTTTAGGAAATGTTTTGTGGAGGGACATTATATCACTCTGTAGGTTTCCATCACGCAGTTAGTGTAGGAAGTAGTGCTCAGTAACATGGGTGGCGAAGGTGACTGACTCTCCCGCACGGAGCTTGCAATCTAACAGGGGGATAAGACGCAGGGACCTGGCAATGAACCAAGACACCCAGGGTCCACTGGAGGTGGTTTCTGGGGAAGCCTGGAACTGGAGGATGGCCCTGGAGGAGCAGCAAGGGCTCTGTGAGTTGGAAAGAAGGAAGGACTGGCTGGAGGCGCACTGGGAGTGGGTTCCCTTGGAGATGGTGACTGGGATAGGAAGATGGGAAGCAGGCATAGCTGTAACAAGGACACGGTCCATGGAGAGAACAGCTGGAGCTCAGGCCTCAGGGGAGAGAGCAGCCATCAGGCCACCAGTGGGGACTGTCCATGTGGGGAAAGTAACAGAAAAGACAAAGGGAGAAGTCAAAGCCGTGACAGCAGGACTCGGAGCAAGCCCAGATTGAGCTGTTCCAATGTGAAAATCTGAATCTCAAATGCTCCAGCCTCTGGAACTTGGAGTGCCGGGGGGGGGGGGGGGGCGGGGGGGGGGTACCACAAGTGGAAAATTCCACACGTGAAACTGTTTCTTGCATGAAATCATTAAAACTATAGTGTAAAATGAGCTTTGGGCTAAGTGCATAGGACAGAATATAAATGAATTTCCAGTTTAGACTTGAGTACCGTTCCCAAGAGAAGTCACCATGTTTGCACAGACATTCCCAAATCACAAAACCTCTGAAGTCCAGAGATACCTGATTCTGAGTGTTTTGTACGAGGGATAGTCCCCTGCTCTACACAGGGAGTCTGGGCTTTCTGTTGAAACTGACGTAGAACTAAAGAAGGTTTTTACAATGAAATAATTTGAACCAATCTAGAGAGTAAGCCTGCATCATGCAAGAGGTGGAGAGTGAGATGGTTTCCCGGGTACAGCCATGTTTCAGCCCAGGGCAGGCGACCTTTCTCTGTATAGGGTCAGCAGGTAAACTGGCTCTCCTTTCCTGGCTGTGACTCTGTTGTCACTACTCATCTTGCTGTCACACACAAACACGTCATTGGGTGACGGCATTCCAATAGCATTTTATTTACAAAACCAGGATTTGACCTAGGGCTGTATTTGGCTGACCCCTTTCTAGCTTAACAATCTGGCGCAAGTTTAAATGTGACAAGCAACCTTCAGGCAAGGGAGCATCAGTGTGTGTTAGCGAGGAATTGGGTTGGCAATCACACGTGCTTGGATTTTAATTCCAGCATCTATTCTAGTCTTTTCTGTCTCACAAGAAAATTATACAGTAATGAACATCAGAGCACCACACACTTAGCACGTAACCAGGCCATATGAGATTCTTTCCCTTTATTCAGTGACTCAGAGTTCACTGCTTAAAACAAAGCAAAACCAAAGGTCAAAACGGTATCTACCACTTTCTCATGGATAGATCACACCTCCTTGCTTACAGAAACAATTTCTTGTATTCCCGATCACCTTCAAGGGCCTTCACGTTCAGTTTACTTCACTGGTTTTAATTCCCTCCCGTGGTCCGCTGGAGCATGTAATCCATCAGCCCGGATGTGCGTTCTTGTCTTAATCATAAGATCACTGTTAATAAAAACAACAGCAGTGGTAACCGTAGTGGTCACTATTGATTGTTATTTACTGTGGCCAGACACTGTGTTAAACTGAACATAAATTGTCTTATTGACTACTCACAATTACTGATAATGTCAGCCTTATTGTTTTTAGTCAGGACATGTGAAAAACAAGAATAAAAGTGGTTACGCTTCCAAAACTAGACACCAAAGGCGTTAAAGAACTAGTTTTCAAACTCTTTTCTGCCTCTCTGTAGTTTTTGATTGGCCCTTCTCTTGGACCTTGTCTCCTCCCCACCCACCAAAGTATGATGGAGTTTCCCTTCCGTCTATTGTTGTTCAAAACATTCCCAGAACTTTTCAACTTTGTTGACATGCCCCTTCTCAAGGATGCCATGTCATTTGGAGTTGTCTCTGGTTAGTCTGTTTCCACATGAAAATGAGAATCTCGGCTTCCTCAAGACGATGACCAACCCAGGGCCTTAATTCTCATCTGCTAATTGAGAGACATGTGTTTCAGTCCGGCTTTTCATCTCTGTGACCAAAAGACCTGACAAGAACAAGAGGAGGAAAAGTTTATTTGGGGCTCATGGATTCAGGGGTCTCAGTCCTTGGAAGGCTGAATCTGCTGCTCTGGGCACGAGGGGAGGCAGGGCATCACGGTGTGGAGGGGGAAGCACCACAGGACACGGCAGTCATGAAGCAAAGAGAGCTCTGCTCACCCAGGACAAAGTATATACCGCAAAGGCACCTCCTGCAGCCACCCCTACCTGCCTTCCAATCCCACCCAGCTAGTTCATTCAAGTGGATCAACACTGGGCAGGTTAAGGCTTCATAACTCAATCATTTCGCCTCTCAACTTTCTCTCATTGTGTCACACATGAGCTTTTGGGGAACACCTCCGATCTAAACCAGGACAACCTGAGTCCTTACTCCATCAAAGCATGCTTACTTATGATCTGCTAGAAGCCATATGATGTGGAATTTACAAAATGACAGGAACAAGGAAGAACTGGAAGAAGAGGTCAGTTTAAAATGAGAGCGAGAACCAATTTCTTGGGCATCAGATAGGGCAGAAGCTGAAACTGGGAAGGGGTGAGGTGTTAGAGTCTGTAAACAAGTCAGGATGGCGCCTGGCAATTTGCCAGAAATGTTGGAGTCTGTAAACAAGTCTGGATGGTGCCTGGCAAAATGCCAGAGGGAGTGGTTTGTGAAGTAACACCATCGAGCCATTAAGTGTGGAGATTCCTTATTGGTTGACTGATGTATCTAGTTTATGCTAATTAGATAAGCTGTGTGGAATGTATAAATACTGCTCCTGTCCTGCAATAAACGGCTCCTACTCCTGCTGTATCAATGTACACAAGTTGTTCATCACCCCCCGGTTATTTTGCTGCAGCCTGACTGTGGCAGTGAGGGTCATCTTTGAAGCTAGAAAAATAATTCTGGACTCCTATGATTCTGGTTCCTTCTGGATCATGTGAGAGCAAGAAGGAACCAATAGTGGTGGGACTGTCTGCACTTTAGTAGGTATAGATTTTGATACTGTAACTTGCTTACTCCTCACGGTCTACAGTAGCGGTAGCAAAAGCAAGAAAGGCTGCCTGCCTTGGCCTGCAGCTCTGTTATGGTGACTTACCACAATTACAACAACCAAAGAACAAAGAAGCAGAAGAACACAGAAGCAAAGCTGGACTTCCAAAGCCCAGCTGCCCGGGAACGACCTCTTCAGCTCTCAACTGGCCCTCAGAATGTGTTGTGATTATCAAGTACGCATTGTGAGGAGCAGAAGATGGAAATTCTTTCCCCACGATCCATCAAAGGTACCACTATTTTGGAATTTACCAGGTATCACTATTTCGGTATCCAAAAATATAGGATGCATTGAATGCAGTCTTTCCATATGATGTAATCAGAGAGTCGGAGGAGTGTATTACCCCATTAGACAATAATCAAGGGTGGTTAAACACAGTCAGATTGTTCCACTGCAGTTAACTGTTCAGACCTGGGGAGACCTTGGGAAACCATGCTTGGATGGATTTAATGAGTCACAGATTTTATTACCTGCCCAACTGGTATTTTAAATAACACTTGCTTTTCCTTTCATGTCAAATGCAATATGAAGTAATGGCTTTGAAAATTGCTACCTGGAGAGACAAAGGGGATAGTCATGATGTCAGCCTTTAAATTGGTCCAAAGAGACACTGAAGGCAAACACAGTCACTTCCAGAAGTCACAGGAGAGAGAAAGAGATGGGGCTGTAGAACAAATGCCATTCTGTGTAAGACAGAACTCAGATTAGAGGGCCAGCACTAAAGGACCTGTAAGTGGACTGCCATTCGTTAGCAGGCAGCTGAGCTCTGGACTTTACCGCTCGGGGTAAAGTCTAATGGGTTCCCAGGAGGACATCTTCTTGGTTGACCAAAAGCTAGAGGTAGCATGAATTCTCTGGAGGCCTTATTTAATCTTCCTGTGTGATGCAGAGAAATCCATAGGCATCGCTAGGGAAACTAAGGCATTTGCAAGTTTCCACCAGACAGCTAGATTTCAGACGAAACTAATTGGCATTTCTGAATAATGCTGAGGAAGAGAGCAAGCACTGGGAGTGTGGTGAACTTGTCAAAGACTTCTGTAATGTCGGGGCCTCAGCAAGCTGAGACTTCATTTTTGGTATCGATTAGGGACTCAATTCAGGCTTCATAAAAAAGGAGAGGAGGTTATGAGGGAAAGTTCCATTCACCATTGAGAAGTGTTTTAGGATACAGTATTGATATAGAAATTATGATAATGGTGATGTAATGATAAAAATAGCCAGCAAATTTGTGTCTAATCTTGTTTGCCTCAAAATTTGGTTATTGAAACCATTTAAATATTTGAAGCCGAATTCTTCTCTGATAGGCAGAGATCAAATGTGTCAAATGAAATTGAAAAGGGGATTATATTGAAAAGGGGACAGGAAACATATATTGATTAGACACTGTATGCTAGTCCCAGATAGATGACCCATTTCCTGAATTGAAAGGGAGCAGGCTACTAGTTCAGATGGTCTTTCAACAGTGAAGTGGGCTTTTACCAAGGGGGATTTCAGTACATCAAGGAGTCAGCGAGTCTCCCATGACTCACTGCTATGATTCTCCCAAGAATCAGGTGAGTTTATCTATGGCCCCTAAGCCCCACAGCCTTCTGGTCTACCTCCATTATGACCACTGTGTCTGGAGCTCACCCAAGGCCACAGCACCACAATGTGCAGAAGGAAACTGTTGCAGAAACTTTCACACCTTGGGAACAACCTGGCTTGGCATGAATGTTGTTAGCTTTTCCCCAGAATGAAAAGCTGAGGGATTTTCTTAAATCATGAATAGACAAAAACATGCTATAGAAGTTCACTTTGGGCAAATTATCTCCTTGATCAGCAAGTAATCTTGACATCTTTCATATCATTTTTATACTATCTCTCTGTACAGAAAAAGCTGGTCGAAGGGATTCAGATGAAAATCAGGTGAGATTCTGTCCTGAGCTTAGTGGTGGCATGTCAAAAATACTGTGATCCCTAGATAATGAAGAATAATAGAGGAATGGAGTCGTTCAGGATCCAAGAGGGCTGTTTCTTGTGCCCTGGAAAGGCTGTGAACCTTTGGAGACAGGGGGAACTGGAGCTTGCAGTGAACTCATGGGATGGCAGCAGCCCCCCATGAGCCCCTCAGAGGAAAGTGGTTGAGACCCCTCCACACGTGAATGCAGAACCAGGCATGCTTGGCTCTGAAGCAGATGGTTCTGTGAGTTTATGTTTTAAATGATAAACACGAGTGTATTTTCCCAGAGTGGACTCTGAGCTGGAATTGCTCTGGGTGCAGTCAAAGGGAAACCGAGCCGCCTCCTTCCTGCCTGTGAGCACCTGACCGGCTTTGGCTCCGGGGAGGCCTTCCAGACAGTCTCTGTGGCACTGGCTCCCTGGGAGGGAGGCCCAAACCCTGGGCTGCAGGCCTGTGGGGGGCTGCCTCCCTCCTGAGGGATGACACTACAGGTATAAAGTGAGTCTTTGCTACTTCATGTTCAGCAAGGTGTGGAGAAACCCTGGAAGGATGGAGTGGAGGGTCTCCCTGGTGATGGTCTGCAGGCTGAGACCAAGGGGGAATGGCAGCACTGAGACTAGGGTCAGACCCTGCCAGTTCTGTCCAGACCCCAGCTCTTCCCTCACAATAGAAGTGGGGGTGCCAGGGTGTGGCTTTGGGGCCTGTGTGCAGGGGTTAATCTCCTGGCTCTGCCTGGAGTTGCTGATAGATGTTGTTTCTGAGCACATGCTATTTGCTTCTCACTCTAGGGGAAAGTCTGGGGAAGCCCTGTCCTCTGGTGCCTTTCTCTGAGTACAGGGACGTGCTTAGGAAGCTTCCTGAAGAAGCAACACTGAGCAGACCTCTGAGTGCAGCCGGACAGCGTCTGAGGAGCCTTCCAAAGAGAGGTCGGTGAGTGATCCCTACATCAGGGGACCCAGGAATCAGGAGAAAGAAGTAGAAAATCATGTCCATGGGGTTGTGAGGGGCTGCTCACTGGGTCTCAGGAAGGACTGGGGTTTGGAGTCACTGTGGTGGGAACAGGAGGCCATTGGGATATATGGCAGAGAAGTAACATGACCTGGTCTATTTTCCAGGATCTCTCTGTGTAGAAAAACCTCTACAGGAGTAGAAATAAAAGCGATCCAGGAGGCTGTCATAAGATTGTAGGGAAACAGAACACACTGGATGCTGGAAAGTGGATGCTGGGGCTGAAAGAGGCCTGAAATAGACAATTCTGGAAAAAGCAAAGACGTTCCTTCCTGAGCTCCATTCCTGGTGCAGGGGGACCCTGGAGGCCTTGCTGCTGGGTAAGGCTGGATTCAGAGCGTGGGCGGGAGACATGGTGGGCTCCCAAGGCAGACAAGATGGGTACGCCTCTGCCGGCGTGCCAAAGAGAGTGGCCCCTGCACCCCGGCCATCTGTGATAGGACATCTGGCTGCCTTGGGGACTGTGTGGCTAAGTGCCTGGACACTGTGTCCACTAAACCCAACTGCAGTCTTGTGATTCAGTTACCCACTCTGTCCTCCAGTGTCTGCATCCACAAAGTAGGGAGATTCGTAGTCATAGCCGAGCGGACACCTGAGGACATGCAACAGGACAGTGTGTGTCCAGCTCTCTCACTGGGGAACGCTGCCTAACAGGGCTCAATAAGCCACACACCTGTGGTTGGAAGCACAAGTGGCAGACAGGACTAGGCATGTTTTCCCCTGTCTTAGGCTGAGAACAGGTTTTAGTAGAGAGAAATTCTTCAGGATAAATAATTCGGCACTTACAATATTACATGCTCGAGAGCTATCTCATTCCAGTTAAGAACATAAATTCAAAGCCATTAAAACAAGCCTGTTTGTTACTCATAGCCTAACTGATATTCAAAGGAAGGTTGTAGCAATATGATCTTCATTATTCATGGACCACAGTGTGGACTAAGAACTCAGTTTCTCCTTGGGTATCTGAAAATGGTGCCATATTTTCATGATCATTTCTCTGTTCTACCTCCTTAATTCGATTTCTAAATTGATGTTTCTCAAAGTGCGTTCTATGAGTCACCTTCACTAGAAAAATCTGTTTAAAAATGCAGATTCACCTCAAGAGTGCAAAGAGAAAATATGAATTATTGAAAAGCTCCATAATTTATTCTAAGCTTTGAGAAACACTGGAAGTTTCAACCAGCCGTTGTTTTCTTTAATGATTTATATGTTTCACTAGTAATCTCATATTCTTGTATAAAAATTTTGCTTTCTTTCAGGGATAAAATATAACACTTTGGTTATAAAAACCCAGAAGAAGAACACAGAATCCACATTACCATTTCCACTTGTTAATTAATCCCTTTATACAATATACCTACAAAGAGTTTCTATTTACAGTAATTGCTTGTTATAATTTTCCATACAAAGATTAGTGGTTTGCTGCCAATCATGCTATATTATTGCACAATATGTTTGTTAGTCCCCAGAGAGAAGTGTAGATGCAGAGACACATTTCAGATTCTGACTTTTCTATGAACTCTGTGATTTGAAACAAATTGCATCATTTTTCCTTGCTACAATTTGCTCATCTTAAAATGGAGCTTCACGGGGTATAGTAGCACACAACTGTAATCCCAGTGACTCTGGAGACTGAGGCAGGAGAATTGTGAGTTTCAGAATCGTCACAGCAACTTTGTGAGTCCCTAGACAACTTGGTGAGACCCTGTCTCAAAATAAAAAAATAAAAAGGACTGGAGTGTAGTTCAGCGGTTAAGTGATCCTGAGTTCAATCACCAGCATCACCCTTCCCCCAAGAGAGCTCACAATATTCTCTTGATAATATTATGAAATTAAAATATTCTATGATAGTAAATATGAGATTTCTTTCCTTCCTGGTAAAAGCCTAAAACCTGTTCGACAGAGGAATTTCTTTTCCTTGTGTCAAGATGTGTCCTGGCAGGGCTGAGCTGGGCCATAAGAAACTGCTCAAGGACTTTGGTGCTAAAAAATGCATTAAGATAATGAATTCACAAAGGATAATAACTGATAGTTAAAAGATGGATTTCTTTCCCTTAAAAGATGGATTTAAGATTTAAGTCACAAGGTTCTCCTTCCAATACCTTGAACACAGTAATGTTATGTAATAGGTCCTAAAATAACAAAGTTTAATAATGAAAATAATTTAAATAAGACATTTGACAGGTGGTTTGGGTGTGACGAAGTGAAAACAGATCCTGCAGTCCACCTGGAGAATAAGCATTTGTTAAACATGTGAAATTTACGGGTTGCTTGTGAGCTGGTGTACCCTAAGTTCCAGAAATGAGTTTGTCAATCAAAACCTCTGCATAGTTCTGGAAAAAGTTTAACTTGCTTAAAAGCAAAAATTGAGATCAGGAATGAAGTTGACCTGCTACAGGAAAAGCAGTTAAGTTGTATGAGTAAGTCAGGGACTTTCAGTTAATTCATCTTATTGTTTGATTGACATTTAATATTTGTAGCAAGGAATCTTTTCTCCCTCCCTCCCCTCCTTCCACCCTCTCCTTTTTCTTCGTTCCTTCCTTCTTTTCTTCACCATTATCCTCCCGTAAAGACTGGCACAGTAGAAACTCTGAAGCTGTGATGTTTTATGCTCAATTCCCAAGAAGGAGAGTCTGTGAGCAGTGACTATGAATGAGGCAGGAAGCAACTGACGAGTCATTTCCTCGGAGGGTATGCTGGACAGATGGCCACGCTGAGACCGTGCTCCACTTTGCTGGAAATGCAGGCAGAGACCCAATAGGAAGCCCTGTGACCTGGCTGTTGTGAACCGGGTGGCTGGGGGCTACGCAGCCCCTCAGAGAGGCTTCTTCCCTAAGAGCCCCAGAGCTTAGGTGAGCAGCCTGAGGGCCAAAGTAAGAGTTGCATGAACTTTATGTTTTCATTTTTTCCCCCATATGAAATTAGTTTGCCCCATCAGTCATCACTTTTCAGAGTCCCTGGGGAATCTGACAGGGTTTAGTAATTTTAGCTTTTTTTATGGGATTAACGTGTTTCTTTTTGGCTCCAGTAAAGCTATACTACATATGGGTTCAGCTGTAAACCGAAACCTCAGTAGTTGAGAAAATCCTTATGATCCATAAGGATTAATGACTAATTAATGACTAATTAATGACTAATTTTCTTTTCTCCATAGGAACCTGCAGAATTCTTTAAGGATATAATGATTCTGAAAGCTTTGTTCCCAAGGGTCTTATGTCACTACGACAGAACTACTCTCCATAAGCCCACGGGACACTTTTCATAAAAGTTATTGTCAGCAATATTTGAAAACAGAAAATCTTCAAAGAAAGGCCCCCAGAAGTCCCAAAGAAATGAGGAAGTCTTGGGAAATGTTCATTATTTTAAGTTAAAAAGGTCTCCCATTTCTGAAGAGAAATACTGTAAGCACTTAACTTCCCTTCTAACAAACCTGGTAAGACAGTATTGATGAGCTACTTCAAGTTTTTGGAGAGAAATTCTAGTCAGAAAAGCTCAACTGGTATTAATAAATTCAAAAAGCAGATTTCTGTGAGTAGGTCCAGCTATACAAATTGTGGGGCCCAATAAAAAACAAAGATACAAGGCTTATTCAAAAAAACAAAGGGAAAGTGTCATTAATGATATTAAATAGAAATGTCTCTGGTTAAAACATTTTATTACTTATAAATGGAAAAGGGCACTAGTAATCCAGGAGTACTATCATCATGGCTTTATAAACTGTTAAAAAAGGATTTCTGGTGGTAAGATTTATATAACTATAATAATACTTTATTAGTGTGCTATCCATGGTCTAGGAACCATGGACTGGAGTTAGATTTTCTTTTTCTTTCTTTTGGCATAGAATATAGTCACGGTGCACCGTCAACAATTTCCCCTTTGAGCATCTTTAAAGCAGATGGAAATGAAAAACATTCACGATAAATTCTGAGCCTAGAAGTCTCAAGAACTTCCACTTTTCCTCCCCTGGCAGTTTCCTGTGGCCTTTCCTTCCCTTACTTGAAAGCAGCTGTTCGCCAACTCACCTTGTAGCAAAGCATTTGATTCAGTTTCCATGAAAGTGTCTATTTTGCATTCACACACATTGATTTCCATATTATTTGTTTAGTCAGTTCTAAGTGCACCTAGTGACACCAGTTTTGGGGACAAAGACAATTGGCCCAGTTGGACAGAACATAATACAGCCACCCGCATGTAATCATGCCTTCAGCCTTGACCAGTGTGTCTTTACCGTGGAAGCCTCCGGACCCTTGCTTTCACCTTGTTTCTTTTCTTTCTTTTCCTTCACTTTCCTCTCCCTCCTTCCCTCCTTCCCTCCCTCCCTCCCTCCCTCCCTTCCTTCCTTTCATCTTTCTTGACCACAGGTTTATTTACCTCCTTCTGGAACTGAACAATATTCACTTAGAAAGTATTCCTATCCCCACCTCCTACCCAAATTGAACTGAATCAGATCAAGTCTTTAAATCTAATTACCAGTTACCAGAAATACTGCAGTCAGAGGAGCATGCTGATGCCACGAGACGGAGTCAGCAAAATCAAGACTGTGGGAAACTACCCAAGGCAAATGACCCAATTCCTTCACAACAACAACAACAACAACAACAACAAAAATTTCAAGGAAAATAAGAATCTATAATTTATCAATGATGAATGAAGCAGAATGCTCAGGTGTGGACCCTGCCTCAAACAGACTGACTGTTCGAAACGTTTATGAGACGCCCAGGCAGAGCTGAATGCAGTATCTCTAGCCAAAATCAGGGTATTGTGATCACATCTCAGAATAGAGTCATATTCGTTCAAATAGAGGTCGTGTGATTGCAGACCACTGGTTTCTGGCGAGTTGGCCAAATGTGCAGGTCTGTCCTGGGCGTCTGCTCCAGGTAGTCAATGAGACACACTAATATCTACCTCCCAGCTACGGAGGCCCATGAGCAGTAAAGTAACACTCACAGGAGATCATTTTTCCTTAAAAGATGAAGCTATTGAGTAAAAATACGTCTCACTCCTTAGTGACGATTCAGTCATGTTTCCTCGTTGTTCTTTCTTATTTCACTTCAGTAACTTCCCAAATGCTTGCAGTTCTTCGTGGGAGAGAGTGCTGGGAGAAGCTGCTTCCTCTCTGAACGCTTCTCCACCAGGACTTCGTGGCATGACCGGGGATGGCATTGCCTGGTCTCTGTTTCAGCTGAGCTGATCACAAACTCTTGTGCTTATAGATAGTCTAGATTTTATTCTTGGTTCCAACCGGCAGGTCAGAAGCTAGATGTGGTGTCTCAGTTCACCACTGGCTTGTTCTTGGGAAACAGTTTTGGTGTTTCCAAACCATTGGCCTGAGTTGATGGGCCATAAAAAGAAAAAAAAATTGGCAAATAAACTTTCGCATTTATTATAGATAGGACATGGCTAATAAATTCTAAAATCTTTTCTATAATGGTCCAAAATTAATTGTTTTCTTACCATCCTAGTATCAAGAAAAAAAAAAGAAGAAGAAGAAAGAAAGAATAAAAACAGCTTTGCTACTTGGTTCTGTTCTTGTATGAACACCATGTCAGGCACCCAGAGTCACGTTCTCTGCCTTTTTCTAATTACTGCAAAGCAGCGCCAGGCACGGATCATTACTTCACGTTGTTTCTCCGTGTTCTTCTTTTATCCTAATTTATACTTATTTCTTAAAACTTCCAGGTCTGTGCAGTGACAGACGTCATTCCAAGCCTGTTTTGTCAGGCACTGGTATTGACACCCATAAGGACATGTCCAGCTAAGAAGCATGAGTCCTGCCTTCTCTCACGGTCGTGCGCTGACTTGTTAGCATTGAGGCACTTGAATTCCCGATGCTGCAGCCGCACCTCGCAGCCAGATGGCACTCACAGGGAAACACGGCCCTGGAACACTTCATGAAGCTGAGAGGGAGGAAAAGAGGATTTATTGGAAGTCATAGTTTCCTTCCACAAACCCCAAAGCACAGGGGTCATCAAATGCTGCCTAGCCTCTAACTCCCTGAGGGCCCATGATACGCCATCGGTTTTCCTGGGGGGAATTAGGAGTCTTGCACAACTGGCCCGGCTAGTTCACGCTCATGGTGTTCCTGTGACAGAATGCAGGCCTCGAGCCAAGATCAGGCCCCCTACACTCTGGCCCCATCCCTTGGTAGAGTGCAAAGATCCAGATGAGGTGTGTGTCTTCAGCCCTCCGATGTCCTCACTGTGTGACATGCGGTCCTGCTAAGTGCTGGCTGTGCATTGTACTAGCATTTTATAGGGAAAACATATTGGCTCCTCTTCTATGTCAGGCCCAGTGGAGATGGGAGTCCAACGCTTTACACCTCCATTCACCCGAGTAGCTTGATGTCTACTTCCCAGCAGTTTCAAAATCATAAAGGGGCCAGCAGGACCCATGGGACCTGACACTTGGACTTGAGAGCTTTCCTCCAAGAGAAGGAGGAATGGATGGAAGATATCAGGCACATTGAGGAACAGAAGTTTGGCCAGTGGCGATGAGAGCCGAGTGGTCAGATGTCCAACTGCTGATTCCCTAATCGCTCAACTTGTTTTCCTGTCAGTTGCAGCCATAACAAAACTCTTAGCTAACACACGGCAGGAGGCGGAGTATGGGAGCCCTGTCACAGGCTCCGAGAGGCCTTCTGCTGACATCTGCTCAGGGGTCGGCTCAGCAATGAAATTTAGGCAGCAGTGGGGCTGCCGTCCTGGGAGGTGAGAAACGAACAGTCACCTAAGGTCAGGGGCGGAGCAGTGGAACCCCCAGCTGAGTGCTGGCCAGGGGTCTCCTCCGTGAGAAGGCCCTGTTTGGAGGCCGTGTCTGAAGCTATTGCTAAAGCAGGAAAGGTGCTCTGAACCTTCCATCTATCCAACAAGGCAAGCCACATCGGTGCATGTGGAACCTGGGACTGTGGGAGTTGGAATGTTGACGGGGGTCAGTAGTGTGTGGTCATTGTCATGCAGAATTCCAGGTGTGGAAGTCATGGGGTCAGTTAGGGCCTGGTTTTGGGGGGGTGAATTTCCTTTTCTGAAGTGGAGGAGGGGGTGGGTGAAATTCAGCCTTGACCCTTTCATGGATCCAGATGGCTTTGACGATTGAGGGTGCCCAGCCTGACAACCCTGGAGGCCAGAGGAGTGGAGGGGGTGAGAAGTGTTCCCGTCTCAGAAAGTGAGACCCTGAGGAGCCTCTGGGGGTGGCCCAGGGTCTCCCTAGCTGGAGACCCAAGTAGGAGCTGAGATCTTTGGAGGAACGGAGGAGGCAGAGGGGTCACAAAGATGCCAGCAGGCTAAGCCAGATGAGTGGGGCTGCCGGACAAAGGGCCAGCTCTCTTTGTCCTGCTGAAAAGCTTTAGTTTCTTCATCTTAAAGCGATTTTAAAAAGATGAGATCAAATAATTCAGTTTCCATCATTATGTGATTTTTAAGTGAAGTCATTTCCGAACTCTGTGCAGTAGATGAGGTGATTTCTTCTATGGAAAATGAAAATAGTTGGTAATGTTATTCAGCTTATTCCTTGAATAGGCTCTTACAAATTTCTCCCAACTCTTTTTCAGTTTTCTCAGAAACTTGGCACATCCATTTTCTTTTTTTTTTAACCAAATTTTGTATTATAACAATTTTCATCATTTCATCTAAAATTATGTCTAAAGACAAAAAGATTTGAAGAAATACTCGGGCTAGGGTTGTGGCTCAGTGGTAGAGCGCTTGCCTAGCATGTGTGAGGCACTAGGTTCAATCCTCAGCACCACACAAAAAATAAGTAAATAAATAAGATAAAAGTACTGTGTCCATCTACAACTAAAAAAACCCCACAAACAAACAAACAAAAAACCGAAAAAGGAAATACTATATATAGGCACACTGTCCATGATTTCCTCCAGAAAAGAGCAAGATGACTGTGTCTTAACTTTTCTATATTTTAAAAATTGTCTTCATATTAATAATCAGAGACAACTAACGAATGCTATTTAAATAAGTGCTGTTCCTCCAACACCCGTTTCAGAGGCCCCAAGCTTACACACATCTCCACTGTCAAACGTTCCGTCTTCCAAGTAGCACTTCCCAGTGCATCATATGCAGGTATGGGTGTCTGTGTGGCACCAGAGATATGTCCTTCCAGAATCATCCAGCACAGTGCCTCATTCACACTGTGTTAAAACACCAAGGACCAAAGGGAAATAAATCAGTTTTACATTTCTATTTCTTACTTATTTATAAAGATAAAAGCAGCTAAGAATATATGTATATTATGAAAACATTTAATTTTTATGTTTACTTTTGGTGTAGTGACCTTATAGAGTCTTAAAAGTATTTTTTTCCAGTGATTCTGAGTCCATTTTAATAGAAAATAGAGAGGAACAGTTTAGGCCAAGTGCTTTAATTTTTCCTGTGGTGGTGTTTGTCAGCCCAGGGTCCTGTCTCTGGGCTCTGAGGTTCTAAGTGCATCTTAGGACTGATTTCTCCCATGCTGGGTATACTTGACAACTTCAGAAGCTGCACCAATGTCTTCATGTGGGGAACATGTTGCATGGAGCCAGTAAAAGTGGTCCTTTCCCAGATAACAAGAAGATGGCTGGCTGTTCTGCAGGGGACCATCAGTTATTCTAACCCATGTGGAATTTTATGCCTGTAACAGCTATTTAAATATCATTTTATAATTTGAGTTAAAAAATTAAATGTCCACAGGAAGAAATATCTTCAATATATTAGAATGGTAGTATAGTATAGGCAAAATGTATATTAACATGCAATGTTAATATTTAGTCAATTTTCTCATTTTACATTTAATTAAGTTTGAGTTCTGAGTAAATGGGAGAAATGACAAAAATTAGTGTATGATATAAAATTGAGTGAATTTAGGGAACACTTCATAAAATTTTCCTTTTGTAAATTTCTGAAAAACAATTTAATTTCGTGGCTACTGCATTTGGAGTGCTGTCGAAGGCACTTTTTCCTTCCCCAATATAATAATACTCTGCTCATTTTTCCTTTGGAAACCTTGTTGTTTTAGTTTTATGTCTGAGTCTGTGATTTTTCTCAAATTAATTTTTTATGTGGTGTAAGGGGAATCAAGATTTATTTTTTTTGATTTCTAATTAGAAGATTCCTACTTATTGAAAAGATTGTCCTTTCCCCAATCAACTGCAGAGGAGCCCATGTGTAAAGTGTGTGTGTGTGTGTGTGTGTGTGTGTCTGTGTGTGTGTGAGATGGTTTGTGCCAACTAGTCCTCTCTACTGGCCTGCTTATCGGCTCTTGGCTTGTGTCACACTGTATTCAGGTTGCAGTTATATGTTCTCCAGCTTCATTTTTGTTAGCATTGGCTTGATCTTCTGATTCCTTCAAATTAGAAGAAAATTTTGAATTTTAAAACAAACCTGCCAATTTCTACTAAATGAATCTTATGGGATTTTGATTGGGATTACATTGAATATTTGGACTCAGAGACCTGAAGATCTTTTCTGTGCTTTAATTACCTGCTCTGGACTATAATTATTTGCTTATCATATATAATATGTTATATGTCTGACCCAGCTGATCATATATGTGCATTATTGTACATTAACCTGTCCATCTGCTTTATATGTTTTTAAAAATAATTTCCAGTTTAACTGAGGTAAAGTTGACAAATAAAAATTGTATATATTTAAGGTGTACAAGGTGATGTTTTGATATAAGTATAGATTGCAGAATGATTGCCACAATAAATCTAATGAACATACCATGCCCTCATAGTTATATCTGTGTGTGTGTATGTGTGTGTGTGTGTGTGTGTGTGTGTTGAGACACTTAAGATCATATCAACAAGCTGGGCACCGTGGCTCACACCTATAATCCCAGTGGCTCAGGAGGCTGAGGCAGGAGGTTCATGATTTCAAAGCCAGCCTCAGCAAAAAGTGAGGTGCTAAGTAACTCAGTGAGACTGTGTCTCTAAATAAAATATAAAATAGGGCTGGAGATGTGGCTCAGTAAGTTCCCCTGGGTTCAAACTCTGGTACAAAAAAAATAAGATAAAATAAAGTTAAAAAATCACATCAACTGTCTTAGCAAATTTTGAATATACAATACAATGCTATTAACTATTAATAGTCACCATGATGTACATTAGGCATCCAGAACTTTTTCATTCTGCAATAACTGAACCTGTATACACTTTTCAGTATACTGATTTATTCAGTCCATGAACATGGTGTGTCTCTCCACTTTATTTATGCAATATTTCATTTCTCTTAGTTTTGATGTTAAGGGTTCAGTGTAGATGTCACAAACATTTTATTCTAATTATTTAATATTTGATATTATTACAAATCACTTAAAATTCATTGTTATAATCACTTTTAAAATTATTTTCTACATGTTTATTGTTTTCTAATTTAAATACAACTGATCTTTCTTATGTTGACTTTCAATTCAACAATATTAAGCCACCTATTTTCTGTTTATAGATTCTTTTTGTATAAACATATAATTTATAAATAATGACAGGTTTCCTTCTTTTTTTATTATAGCTGTGAGAACTTTTTCTTCCTTTCTTTTTTGCTTTCTTTTTCTGCAAAATGGCTAAGATGGGCAGATGATGCTCAATATTTATCTATTAAGTCTTATAAAGACTTAGGATTGTTTTTGTAAATATCCTCTATTGGTTACACAAAAGTTTTCTTCTATTTCTAGTTTGCTGACTTGCTAAGGAAATTTCAGACACTTGTTGAATTTCATCAAATGCTTTGATGGATTGGGCTTAATTGAAGTAAGAGTGTCAGTTGATCAAGTTCGTGATTAAGAGTACAGACGAGACGAGCCATTGGCAGAGACCATGTGTCTACAACACATGTATCTGACAAAGACTTGTAAGAAAAGCTGATAATTCAACCAAAATCGGCAGAAACAACATGAAGAAACTTTCCATGGCTGAAACTGGTGTGATCTGAGTAACAAAATTTACACAATCTCTACATTCATCTAAAGAAAAAGATAGACATTCATGAGTTGATTGTGACATAAATGATCAAATTAAACATTAATGGATGAGAGAGGTGGGTACTCCTTAAAGAAGAATGACATGTCAGACGTCTAGATGCCCCTCCTCCAGGGGACTGGGCCAAGTCCCTCTTCCTTCGGGTGCTGGATGGCCCTGCAGCTGGCCTTCAGAAGAGGGGACTGAAGCAGAGCAGAAGTGGAGGGAAGAGACCTGAGGCACCTCTTTGCCGTGTGCTGAAGGCTGCGTCCGGTGGCAGGTCACTCTCTGACAGGGTGCAGGGGCGGGCCTCTGACCTCCAGGCTTTCTGCTGTGAGGCTGCCCCAGGGATGAGGGGGATCTGGGCCAGCAGACTCTCGAGGCACAGCTGTGCTTCGGTGGTAGGTTCAAAAGTCAACAGGAGGGCATTCAGGATGGCCAAGTTGAGACTATTGCTGGAGCTCCAGAAGCCGAGAGAGGTCAGGGAGCTGGTGCTCTGGGCCAGGGGATCTAGGCAGACAGGAGCTGAGGGGTGTGGGGAAGCATCCTATAGAAGGCCCCGTGTGCAGGGAAAACCCTCCACTCCCCAAGGGACAGCAAGAATGAGGTCTTGCTTCAGCTTTGTAATCCCAGAGGCAAGAAACAAATGCAAATTGAAGTAAAAAAAAATCCAAATATGTTGTCCCAAATTATTATTTTTAAAATGCCAATTACACATCAGTGGAAGCAATATAATTTTAAGGTCATGTTTTCCATATTACTGTAATATCCATTACTGCCTAACTAAGCAATGCTAATACAGAAAGTCATTTTCTCAGTACACACTCAGTAATGAAGTGACTCTTAGATGGGATTGCCTAGCTGATTTATTACTGCAACGAGGTGATGGGAATACTTCCACTGGAAGGCTTTTACAATTTATCAAGTTTCGTTCGCCTAAGGAAGGTAATTACTTTTCTAGGGTTGATGTGATATGTGAACCAATACAAGCACTGGGGATATGAGCAATGACCAATCTTTTACTCAAAATTAAACTGTAACAAATTTACCATATGTTGAGTAGACATTTAACAGTTCAAGGGCCAGTTCCCATTATATCCTAGTCTTCAAATTCCCCAATACAGTATGACATATATGTATTTGTCCTCACGTGCATGTGATGGCTAGAAGCTGGGGCACTCATTAGTCAAAGGATGTGCTTTTGCAACCAACTCACATAAAATCATCTTCTAGAAATTATAAATCAATGTGTGCTGGGGCTTCTCAAATAACTCATGAATAATAAAAATCTCAAATGCTAACCTTTTAAGTACTGATGTATTTTTAAAAATTTGTGTGGTAGAATCAAGATTAGAAAGCAGCTTTTCTGATCATCAATTCTAAGCATTTTAATATCATTTATATCCATAAGACATGGGAATGATTAACTTAAAAAGGAGAAGATGATGAGGCCACAAGATAACTGTTGTCGAATGTTCAAAATGTTTCCATGTTAGAGTAGAACAGATTTATTATATAAAATAAGGAACAGTGAATGCATAGTAGTAGTGAGAAAGAAAATTTATAGCCATCCTAAGATGGATGTTCCAACATCCTTCCTTCAATGGAGTATAGCCTCCAACAATGGAATAGTTTTGTTTTCTCTTTGTTTTTTGCCTAGCAATGAGTTACTCATCTCTAAAGAATTCAGATAGAGACTGAGGTCAGTGTTGGACAGGAGCAGAAGTGATTCCCACCTCAGGTGCAGGTTGGATTAGGTCACCTTGGAAATGATTTAAGACTAAGCGTCGGTGCCGACTGATGCACAAAACCAGCAGTACCAAGCTGTAGGTAAGGTTTCCACTTCTGGTACTGAGGACAGTTTATTACATGAATGTAATTTTGTGTAATTTTTTGTGATACATTTTGGAAAGTCTTGAGTCAGAGGGTATTTCTTAGGAAAAAATGAAAGATGTTTTTAAATATTCTAAGTTCCCCAAACATGTAAGAAATTGTCTTAAATACTGTATGTTTTCAAATGCCCCTCTTTATCCCATCAACCAAAGTTCATAAGACTAAGAATTTAGGTGGGGTATAAGACAGTCAAAACAGCCTGTGTCGAGCTGGGGTCTCCTTGACCTCTTGGTCCTCTGTTTGGATTGGAACCTCTCCCTGTTCTCAGGGAGGACTATCATGACCCCATCACACCCAAGTGCTTCTGTAATAATCCTAATTCCTGCCTTTTGCTCCAGCTCTTATCCTAGTGATGGGTTCAGGAATCCTTGTATAATCCAAGATGAATCCTTCCCTGAAACTGTCTTATAGGAGCTAAAACTTGAGTGTCCTCTTTCTCCATGACATATCAGCTCAGAGGTTACCGTCCCTTTTCTAGAGAGACCGTGCTTACAGAGTCAAGAGTGCTGAGCCCCATGTAGAAGCAGAAATGAGATCTGCTGAGACCTAATAACTACTGAGTCCTCGTCCTCTAGTTCCAAGACTCTAGGCCTAGAACTGGGCTGGCTCACTTGGTTCTTCCTATGATCCATTGTTATTTTTTCAATATATAACAGCTCTCACTCTGCCCCTCAGGCTGGCTCAAGTTGGGTTATAGAAATATTTTTCTTTAATAACACAGAAAATTGAATAAAAAGTAAAAGTAAGAGTAATGATGTTATAATCATTAAAGTATTAAATGAATTAAAAATCACAGTAAGTACTTGGTACTTAGTGTGTGTAGTACATACTCAAGTGTTTTTTTAACCAGAGAGAACAGTTAGGATGCTCTGATTGTCACAAGCTAATGAAGACATGCAGAATCAAAGAGAACTGTTTAAGACCAAGTAAATGAAGAAATAGAAAAGAATACATTTACAAACGCCTCAAATAGGGGATAACAGGAAGTGAGAAGTGAGAGTCATGCCAGGCTCTAGGCATAGGATGCCTTTAAAGGGAGACAGGGAGGATGAGGTGTGGGGGGGAATGTTCTAAAAGGTTATGCTGTTCTATTCAATTTAGAATTTGCTGATTTTGAGGTAAAAACAGGACATCTAAATATAAAATGGAAATAAATTGCTGTACACAGAATTGAGTTGAGAAATAATGCAAGTGGCAGGTTTTAAAATTTTTCTATTCTTCCAATTTAAATATATTTTACTGGGGCCTTATTTGTGTGCCAGGAACCATGAAGAGTAGGAACCAACACACCTGCAAACCAGAGTCTCTTGTTTTATGAATTATGGTGAGATGAAAAGAGAGTAGAATAACTACTAAAGAGGGCATCGAGAGCACTAAAATTGAGTCTATGGTAGGCACTAGAAGCCGAGAGAGCACACTGGGGACACCTGACCCTATTTCAGAGATCAGAATTTCTATAGCTCCCATGCACTCTTCAGGAAGCCTTAGACCTGCCTACATTTGTCAAGTAATTGACCCCAGTTAGTCTTAAATGATCAGGAACAACTAGCCAGGTAGAGAGGAAGAAAGAGTACTCAAATAACTCCAGGGTAATATGGTTAAAGGTAAGAGAGAACACCCAGGGAGCCCCAAATGTCCTTGCTGTCATTTCCCATTGACTTTAGGCTTCCCTAAGAACTCTTCCTGATTGGCTGTTGTTGTGCTAAAGCCCTGTGGTCTGCTGGTAATGCAGGTGGGAGGGAAAGTGTTCATAATCTTACCATGAAATCTGGTCTCAGTGGACCTACGTCCTAAGATTGTGAGTTTTATAAGTGCTTTTTAAGCTCTCTTTTTTATTCTAAATAATACAGGGAGATTATAATTTTATTGCATTG